AAATTTAAAAAAATGAAAAATGCAATTTTTTTTAAATCATTTTTTGAAACAAATTTATTTGTTTTAAAAAAATTTCTCTAATGACTGCTAACTTAACTGTCATTTTTAGATGAAAATAAATTTAGCAGATATTAAATAATTAAAAAAATTTTTTTTAACAAATAAATTACAGCAAAAAAAAAAAGTAAAAAAATTGTCATGCAGAAATTTAAAAAAATGAAAAATGCAATTTTTTTTAAATCATTTTTTGAAACAAATTTATTTGTTTTAAAAAAATTTCTCTAATGACTGCTAACTTAACTGTCATTTTTAGATGAAAATAAATTTAGCAGATATTAAATAATTAAAAAAATTTTTTTTAACAAATAAATTACAGCAAAAAAAAAAGTAAAAAAATTGTCATGCAGAAATTTAAAAAAATGAAAAATGCAATTTTTTAAAAATTATTTTTTGGAACAAATTTGTTTGTTAAAAATATTTCTCTAATGACTGCTAACTTTACTGTCATTTTTAAAAGCTGTAATTGATTTGTTAAAAATATTTTTAAAATTAACAGCTAACTTCAGTATCATTTATTTTTTAGGCTTGTAGAAGAAAATAATTTTTTGCAGAATGTCAGAAGAACCGCCTCGTAAAAGATTAAGAGGAAGTAACCTCGTAAATGCTTCAGATAAAATAATAAGCAATGACCAATTACTTTTCTTCACCGCAATCAAGAAGAATGATACAAAGTCCCTCAGCAAATTTCTTGAAAATGTATCCTCATTTGAAATTGACATAAACTTCACATCCAAGAATCACACAACAGCTCTCAACTTGGCCATTGTCGCAAACAACTATGAATTAGTGAAAAGACTGATTGATTTAGGTGCCAACGTGAACTTGAGATCACTTCGAGGACATGATGGTAGATATGTGCATTACAATCGTCTTCCGTTACACCTAGCAGTTCATGACGGGCACAAAAAAATAGTGGAACTACTGCTGCAGAACAATGCTGATATTAATTCAGTTGAAGAACATAAAACAGCTCTCAGTATTGCAGCTGAGCAGAATCACTTCAAAATTGCAAAGCTGTTAATTGACTCTGGAGCTGAAATTAACCCTTCTAATTCAATCAAACCTTTATTTTCTGCCATCAGCAGAAGCAATTCAATGGCTGAATATTTTATTAGGAGAGGTGCTGATGTAAATGCTGTTGGCAAATTTTGGTACGATCCACAAGACATCAACACTACTGCACTGGAGTTAGCTATTTACAGACAAAACCCAGCTATAATGCAATTATTGATAGATAAAAAAGCAAATGTTAATTACAAGAGCGGACACGATACACTTTTGAGAATTGCTGTGATAACCGGCTCGGTTAAAGCGGTCAAGCTTCTTTTAAATTGTGACGATATTTCAGTTAACGCTGTAGCTTCGCCTGGAATTTCTGCTCTTCATGTCGATTATATTACTTCTTTTTACAAATCTAACAACACCAAGAATATTTTAACTGCTTTATTAGATGCCGGCATTGATGTTAATCAAATAACTTACAGAGGCGAAAATGTTGTTGATTACTTCAAGAGAATGTCTCTAGTTATCAAGAAACCTGTCTTCGAACACATCGTGAAGCTAAAAGCTGCTGGACTCTATGTTTGCCCTGATATTTTGGAAGCTGTTGAAGTAAAAGAGTACGCCTGCTTTTATTCCGCATGTTGCCTGGAAGTCCAACTGATGAAGGAGAGTAAAATTCTTGATATTAATTTCAGCTTTTATGATCTTTTACATAAAAGCCAATTTGTTGTAGCGTTAGCTCTGCTGGTTGTTGACCAAAATAAGTGTTTACAAGAGAGGCTTTTGAGAAAACAATTTAAATTGTATGGCGGATTAATTTATTACCGTCTGAAAAAAGCTTTTTACAGAAAGAAATTATTAGTTAAAGTTGATGAGATACTTTTTGATATTTTTAACGCTCATCTTCCGGATGTTATCAAAAGAATGATTTACCTTTACTTAAGTAACGAAGATTTGAAATTATTAGTTTAATTATTAGAGATATAATTAGTTTAATATAATAAGAAGAAATAAATGTTCTTCGCTGAATGATAGAAAATTTATTGGATACAAAAGAAAGTTTTTTAAAAATAAACATGAAAATTTATCATCATTGTTACTAAATTAAAAATTTGTTTTATCTTATTTAGTTTCATCGCATTAATACATTATTAATTATTAGACACGTAAGAACATGTTTAGTTATAATATATTTTACATATAAACAAACCTTTGAATTACTTATTTTTATTATCTTTTAAATTCTAATCGTTAATTATCTACACGGTAAGAACAAGACGACACTGGATATCATCCCAGATTATACTCAGTGATATTTATGGTGAAAAAAAATTTCAGATAATAACTAGAAAAATCCAGAGTATACTGCGTGATATCTGGATTATACTAACTACTATCTGAAATTTTTTTTATCCAGTGTCATCTTGTTTTTTCCGTGTAATATACAGTCGTCATTGATTTTTAATGGTTGGCAATGATTCGAGTAAAATAAAAAATTTTCAATTTGGAAATCTCTCACTATAAATTTCAATTAATAACATATTTAGAAAATAAACGAAACTATGAAGAAAATTCACATAAAATTAATAATATTTCATTTAAGTAGTACAATAATATAGTTTAAAGAAAGAAAAATACAAAAATCTTCTCAAAAGTACTAAGTTTATTTTTCTTTTAATTACATATATCAAGTACTTGAATCGTTTTGTATTTAAAATTTTCAAAACAATTGTATGGTTAATATATTAGTAATTGAATATAGTCATAGTTTTATTTTATAACATGTAAATTAGATTTAGTAAATGCAATTATATATGGCTTTTTCTTAACTTCAGTAATGTCTAAAGAAAGAATTGGTTCATTGCTAATTGGTATAATCTTTGTGACTGGTGATTGATTTAGATTTTCATTTACAAGTTGTTGAATATTCTTAATCACGAATAAATAAACATTTCCTAGTAAAAATACAATAAAAATATAATTACTAATTTGAATTACGTGTTTAAACAAATAAAATAATTTTGATTATATTACCTGATGAAGTTCCCAAAAACAGTATATTAACATGCATGACTACCGACACAATTTTGCTTTTAATAAGTTCCAACAAATAATGACGTTTGACACGAACTTGATTGGAATCGTTCAGTACTACTACAAATAGATCATGGCCTATAAAAATAAAAATAATCATAAATAATAATGGTGATTATTTTTTCGTTTTATTTAAAAAAATCAACGAGACCAAACCAAATAAATTTAATTGATAATTTTTTTTTTTAATTTCCACATGTGAATTTTTTTTTTTTTTAGTTTTCTTTACGATTTATAAAAATTATCAGATATCGATCAATTTTAATGTCACTGATATATAATAATAATAATGATGAATTTTAATTTATTATTTTAAATTATAAAATATATTACGTACCTTCATTAATGATCACGACTTCTGGAATGGGTATGTAGATTTTTCCTGGAGGTAAATCGAAATTCGGATCCATAATTTCAGTAATTTTCGAATTACCATTATCAAAGATTATTTTCGACTCGGATGCGTACTTGATTGCAATTGTTGTCTATGAATTAAATGTATAAGAAAGTTTTATTCTTAGTACATGTACTGAGAACTGAGTGCACTGAGTAGATTGAGAAAAAATTTCTTTTGAAAAAATGGGCATTGTTGTGATAAGAAATTAATAATTTATTGAAAATTTTCAATAATTTTATTTTTTTAGTTATGAAGGAATTAAAAAATTTTTCTCACAGTATAACTTTCTTGTTGAAAACAACTTTTCTAGATTCAGGAAAAAACAATCTTGGACGAAAATTTTTTCTCTCAGTAATCTTATAAGATACCTTTCATTTTTAAACCTAAAAGAGCGTAGAAATTTTTTTTGCCAAATATCTATGATATTTGACTTATTTTATATATATTAGACACAAATAAAAAAGTTTTACAATTATAATAATCAAAATATATATTATGTACCTTAGTTGAAAATCTTGTTAAGATAATTAACTATTTACTAAAAACAATCATAAAAAATTTTTTAAAGTTAAAAAAAGTTCAAAATGATGTTATGAATAATAATTTTGAACTATTCAAAAAATTTTTTTTACTAAATACTGTTCACTTTGTCGGCACTAAATGTTATTTTGTTTCAGTTTCTTCCATAAAATCATTTTTTATTATTTCTTCTCAAAATTTTGATATTTTTAGTAGATTTCATAAAAATCTAACTTTTGTATTTGTCCTCATGACGTAACTTTTCAAAAATTTTGTTATATTTCGACCTAACTCGATGAGCTGAGTCAGAGAAAATACATACATTGATAAAAAAATTAACTTGACTCAAGACCCGAGAAAAAATTTTTCTATATAATTATATATAATTGTATATAATCATATATGATTATATATAATTATATATGGAATCACATATATAATTATATAAAATTATATATAATCATATATAATTATACATAACTATATATGGAGCAATACACAGCCATGCAAGATTATATATAATCATACATGATTATAAATGGAACTGTATATGAGGTCATATATAATCATATATAATTATATATAAGAATATATAATTATATATAATCATACATGATTATAAATGGAA